TTTTTTTTTTGTTGGTTTTGGTTGTTTTGTTGGCGGGAAGTGTAGTTCACAGATCGCCAGAATAGCGGGTGTAAAAAGATACTGAGCAACACATGGGGCCTGTCCCACCCAATCTAACCTACAGGGCATTCAAAGCGATTGTGAAACCAGTATTGTTCTACGTAAATAGTTCAAGTGTGGTGGACAGCAATGAATAAGAAGACTTATGCAAAACGTGTCGACAGGGTGTAAAAACTAGCGATGGTAATTGCGCAGAGCGTTATCCTGCACATACCCTACAGGGAAACCACCGTGTTAAAATGGTAATACAAATTGTTTGTATTCAAGCGAAAAAATCGGCGACCAAAAATTTGTTTAATGTAAACTAAAATCTGGTTAATATTACCAAATCATTGTTGAAAATATCAACCACGGCATTGTTGATATTAACCAGAAATCAAATTGATTCCTTTCCAAGTTTGAATTTGGTAATTTTAAATAAATTTTTGGAACGGTTGTAAATATGAATTTTCGGCGAATAAGCTTTAGTAGTTAGTAAAATATCAAATTTTTCGTATTTCCGCCAAATACCCTTAGATGAGAGGTAAGCGTGGTTATTGTCCGATTTTGCCCATTTTCAAAACCATCCGTCTTTGGCTCAAAGAAATACACATACCAAGTTTTCTTAAGATGTCTAAATTTTTTCTCGAATCAGCACTTAACCGATTTCTCTTTTCATTCTGAGCATTTACATGCGTATACATTTGTCCATATCTATTACAATTCCTTTAATCTGTTACAAACAACATTTATGTGAAAAAACTTATAATACCCTTGTGAACAACAGCGCTCGGGTAAAAAAACAGTCAAATGCGGTATCATGCTTTCGGGAATCGATCAAATGCGGTAGGGATAAAACGACACCATGAAAGTATCGACACCTATACTTGGAAGTAGCATCGAAAGGAAGTATGGATACCTACTAAGTATCGGGATAAAAGTATCGATAACTACTTATATCGGTATTAGTATCTACATATCAGAGGTGTTAAAGAATGCAGTCATTATACCCGAGCGCACTTGTGCACAAGGGTATATTAATTTTGTTCACATAACGGTTGTTTGTAACAGCCAAAACGAATCGAGATAGATATAGACAAATGTATACATAAATGATCAGGATGAAAAAAGAAATCGATTAAGCCATGTCTGTCTGTCCGTCCGTCTGTCCGTCTGTCCGTCTGTCCGTGTACACGATAACTCGAGCAAAAATTGAGATATCTTAACGAAATTTGGTATGTAGGTTTCCCTTAATCCAAGGTAGGTTGGTATTGAAAATGGGCGAAATCGGACTTTAACCACGCCCACTTCCCATATAACGGTAATTTCCAGAAATACGAAAACTGCGATATTTTAGTAACTACTAAAGATAATTCACTAAAAATTGATATTTATAATAAGTTTTAGACGAAAAATAAGAATATTATAAATTTTTGGAAAATGGGCGTAGCCACGCCCACTTATGGTTATATGTGTATATCTTGGTAACCACTGCACCACTTTCTTCCAAACTTGGCACAGTTGTTGGCCTTCGCACAACATACTAAATGGATTTTTAAAATCGCTCAATAACCACGCCTACTTCCCATATAACGGTAATTTTCAGAAATACGAAAACTGCGATATTTTAGTAACTACTGGAGATTATTCGCTCAAAATTGATATTTACAATAATTTTTCGACGAAAAATAAGAATATTATAAATTTTTGGAAAATGGGCGTAGCCACGCCCACTTATGGTTACATGTGTATATCTTGGTAACCGCTGCACCAATTTCTTCCAAACTTGGCACAGTTGTTGGCCCTGGTACAGCATAAAAAATTGCCGAAACTTTTTAAAATCGGACAATAACCACGCCCACATCCCATATAACGGTAATTTAGAGAAATACAAAATCTTCGATAAATCAGTAAATATTGAAGCTAATTTATTCAAAATTGATACTTGCAACAATTCTTTACCAAGAAATACGTTTATGGTAAAATTTTGGAAAATGGGCATGGCACCGCCC